TTTAAATTCTGGCACCCAGCAAAAGCCAAGAAAGGCTGAGGAGAGCACTATTTGTAGCAATGGTCCTTTTGGAACCACCGGAAGTTGAAATCTTTTTGGAATTCTGTAGAAGGTCTTGTCTGAAATGGCCTGAGATCTGGTGAGTATTTTTTGAAGATGACTGGGATCTCTTACAGGAAGTCTAAGTAACTGGAATACTGCCCCCTTTGCCCCCAACTTTTTGTTATAAATAAGATAAACTGCTTTATGAGACTTTCATAATATCCTTTGAAGTTGAAATGACTATTTCCAGAACCGAAAAGAATCCATAATTTATCCTGGAGGTTATCCGGGCCATCTCTAAGTGGAATCATTAGGCAGGGCAGGACACTACACTGAGCAGTTGTAGATGAGCCAGCTGCTCCTCAGGGAGTCTTTGCTGATGTTCCCTCCACTCCAGGTTACACAGGTGGGCGTGACCGGAGGTCAGGGCTACCCAAAGCATCACAATGGGGCTGGTCCAAGCACCTCAACCCAAGCCTACCCGCAGGTCAGAGTCCTCGGGAGGGCTTTAAAAAACACAGATGCTGGAGTTCTATTCAGACCTGGTGGATCAGAATCTAGGAGGGGGATTGGGCAGGGCTCTGCATCTTGTGAAGCTTCCTAAACAATTCCGATGCACAAGGCTGGGAACCACTGCTTCTAGGCAATGAAGCTCTAAAACTCTGCGTCAAGCTCCATTCTATGAGCTACCAAGTATCAAAAGCACAACATACCTTCAAGCAAGTTCTTGCTACCAGTCAAAAGCTAAAAAAAGCCAAATTGATTCAGGCTCTAGTTGGCTACCAGGAAGGCACCTAGACCCTTTTGGAGGTCACTGAAATGTCTTGTGATAGGCACTCAACAAATATTTGCTAAATGGACAAATGGATGATTTTTAGAAAGTTCGATTGCCCAATGTCCTGAAAGTTCCCTGTTATCCAGAGCATGAGAGTAGCCCAGGACACTGGCAGAGGCCACTGGGCCAGGTTGTCAGAATGTGATGGTTGGAGTCCTGAGGCAGGGCCATCAACACTGCTTCAGCCACACCAACAGGAGGCCGTTATGACATCTTGTCTATCATTTATTCACAAAGACAAACCCTCAAAGTTGGCCTCTTGCTCATCAGGGCCAGGGACTCCAGACTTCTGGAAGGGTGGCTGGTGCAGAGGGCTGCGCTGGAGAGATGGGACTTGGGGCCAGGGCTCACTGTGGGCCTTGACACAAACTGCAGGAGATATAGACCCAGCCATTTATAATCATGAAGAGAGGATGGACTTAAAGATATGAGATGGATGGTATTCGGACTCAACTCCTCTTGTGAGTGGATGTTAGTATTCTACGTTATGAACTGAGAGGTGAGTTTTACATAAACACATTTGTAAACTTCCCTGAATCAGTACTGGCTACCATTTTGGATACATATTTAGGCTTTGATTAAAAAATGCTTTTGAACAACTTCATCTGATAATAATGCAAACCATCTTTTGTTAGATGCCAGGATAAACTTTATTTTCCTACAAACTGTAATGGAAGCAAATGAAACATATGGCACTTAAGTGCCGTGTTTCTACTTTATTAAGTCATCACAGTAAATCAGAATTAAAGAGAAAAAGACGGTAGACAGGAGGCAAGTGGCATCATCGATGAAGGTGTGTGCTTTTCCGGGCTGGGCACTCTCTGCTGCAGTGTGTCCTGGCGCACACACATGCCTGCAAAGGTGGTTTATACGTAAAGGTCTATCCCGCTCAAGCATAAACCTAGATGTGGAGCATTAGGAAAATTAAATAACAAGAGATAGCAAAATAAAAATCAAATGACACACTATAACTTAATTTACCATATTTATCAAATTTTTTCCTTATTTACATGTACTAAATATTGTAGACCTGAAAACATAAGAAAACATTCACATAATGTGTATGTCATACATAGATACTGAGTGCAACTAAAACAATGGTTGTTTCCTGTTGAATTTCCCTTCAATGTGGACGTTCTCCTTTAGTAGATATAAACATAACACACTTACAAATAAGACATCACAGTAAGTTTTCAAGGACCCCTCAAACATCCAGATGATACAAATATGACAGTAAATGAAGCACAAGTGGTGACGCCTGAGGAAGGACAGGAAGATGTGATCTGCATTGTCTATGAATCTGCACGATCTCTTGTTTGTAAGGCTAAGGGTCCCATTGGTCAGGCACTCACCAAATCAAGGCTTAACCCTCCCCCTTCCCAATGGCTCTGAGGAACTGTAGCCTTAACTGCGTGAAGACACCGTGACAGTCACCCAAGCTGAATTTCCTCACTTCTGTTTACTTAAGGTTTTACTATTTAAAAAAGTCATCATTTTGTGGCATTACTATTTTTTTTAAGTACAAAAACCTACTCATTGAGACTACAGAACACCAGCTTTACTTTAGATGGAAATCAGCATGCAGAGAAGTGAAGGAACTGGCCTGGCCCCGCCTGGAAGCCAGCGAGTCTTATCTATTTTGGGCCAATTAGGGCCACTCTTGTTTACAGATGGCTGACCTACTAATGTGATGAGTCAGCACTGTGACTCAGGTGGGTCCCCACCAGATGAGTGACCCTCTGCAATTTTGCTGAAATGCATTTATTACAAAAGCACACTATTTGCTTTTCTAAGTGGAAAAAAAAAAAAAAACCTTCATCATTTCAATTTTCCACCCTAAATAACAAAATGATTCAAGTCCCTGTGATTGCCAGCAAATCTTGTCACCAGATTCTCTGTTCCCCATCCCAAATCTCCCAACCAGAGCCATGACTGAGAAGAGCGGGCTCAGAAAAAGCTCCAGTCACAAAACTGCTGGCTGTAACCTGGTCACACATTGTTAAAATCATCAGGGATTACAGGCAGGACTAGGTATTTGCTGCCTACAACTGAGTTTCCCACTCCAGGGTCAGGAGGACTGGTTCCTGGAGAGAAAATGGAATCACAGAGCAGGAGTCCAATAATTCTGCAACAGGGGTTTTCCAGAGCCTGAAGATGAAATATTCTCCCAGAAGCTACTTGCTGTCGGAGCCTACATGGGACTCCAGAGCCAGGAACACTCGATGCCCTTCTCTGCAGGAACAAGGTCTGAGTCCTTCACAAATGTCAAATGAAGCAGCTCGACCAGAGTCTCGAGTCCGAGCGATATGGGCCAAACTATGCCAACCAGAGAGCCCAAATCATTAAAAGGTGTGTGTGGGGGGGGTTGAGATAAGAACCGTGATGTATGCTGACACAACAGAAAATGCTGTGACTTCCAGTCACCCTTCATATTGCCATTGAGCCCCCCAATAAGTGAACAAATTGGGCCGTTTATAGAACAGCCCACAGTGAAGGGCTTACTTCTATTTGGAACGTCCCTCGGTCTCTGATGTTCAGAGCACACTCAGGCTCCCTGTCTGTGGGCCTGGGCCTCCAGCCCTACTTGCAATCCTCTATAAAGCAGAAAAACAAATTCTCTCTAGAATTAGAAAGTCCATCCTTCTAATAGGAATGACTGTCTCAATCCTTTCTCACTTGTCCCCAAAGCAAGTCTGGCTCCTGGGTCTGCCTATTTCTCCTGCAAAGGTCAGGTACCAGCCAAACCAATTCCATGGTTGATGGAAAGAACTGACGGGTCAGTGAAACTGGCCACTCTGACGGGGTGAGTCGGCTCAGAGGGCTCACCAGAAAGGGGAGCAAAGCAGGCTGGGGGTAACAGTCAGTGGGCGTTAGAGCAGAGAGGCAGAGGGCAGGGCAAGGCGGGAAAGCATCCTCGCAGGTCGGCCTTTCTCGGGCCCTTAGCTGGCGGCTGCATTCTTCGTGCTGCTCCCTGTGCTGGGTGGAGGGATTGCAGCGGAGACAGGCCGAGGGCCTGCGCCAAACAGGGCTTCCCTGTTGACCAACTTCTCTGTTGCTGACACTTGCAGACCCCCAGCAAGGGCGCTGGGCAAGCGCAGATGGAAGGTGAAGCTTTTCATTTTTTTCAGACAGGCTCAACTTGCTTTTCTTGGAGCCAAATGGAGAGAAATGACGGATCATATCCCTTGCTTGGAATCTGTTCCCCTAAGACTCCATGTGACAGTACGTATTTCTCAGACCCCTGCCGTAGCCCTCTCTCAGCAGTGGGCAGGGGAGCACCATTGCAGGGGAAGCTCTTGGAGGCAGATGGACATTCCCGGGGTGCCCGTCTCACTCCAGCGCCCGAGCTGGCGGGGACCTTGTGCTGACACGGCCCTGTGCTGAGCAGAGCCTTGGAAGGTTTCCTAACCTACAGGAGCTTCGCAGGGGCAGGACCCTACATTTGTAGAACCATCTGAGTGTTCCGTGACAGGAGCATCACTGTCACGACCTGGAGGGCTTCCAGGACGGTCAGGAAAACCTCTCCACAGTTAGTGGGCCTCAGGCACCAGGTGGAAAAACACTCAGCGACTGAGGTAAAACTTCTCTTGGGCTAAAGACCCCAGGGAAAGCCAATTTCCATGATGATGAAATTTTTGAGTAAACCATAAATCCTAACATAAGAAGAACTAGCAAAATCAATGCAGAGAAAATTCCTTAAACAATGTGACAGTTGTTTGCCTGGCCCCTCTGTTAATCACGAATTCATTAATGAGAGGAAATAACTTTGGGTACAGAAACCAGCTGCCCTCTGCCCTCCCCGAAAGCCCAGAATCTCCTCCTGCTGACCCTGCCCGGACCAGTCACACCAACGCGTGAGAGCGGGTTTGACTCTGGTTGTTGGTGACTTTTTCTTTTCTTCTTTCAAAGCCCAAGGTTCATGAGGTTTCAGGGCAAGATAACAGTGCCTAGTTTGAAAGTCCAATCTATGACATTTCGGTGGGGTTCACGTCTAACTTCAGAGGCCGTTAACAGGAAGACTTGCTGAGGCTGCTAGCAGAGCAGCAACGTGTCCTGGAGTCTCTGGGTTTGGGGGTTTGGGGTGGGGGAGTGGGGGAGTCTCATCTGTCTCCTCCTCACCAGGGGGTGCCTTGAGGTGGGCATTCAGGCTGGCGACTAGGGCCCTGCAAAGGAAGCAGAGAAAGAGCGAGTCATGGTGCCAGGTGAGGCCCTTGTGGGCACAGATTCAAGGGAGGATTTGTGGCACTCAGGAGAAATGGAACCACGTCCCCAAGAAGAGGGTTTGACGACCTCCCTGTGCCGCACGTGCAGGGATGTTTGTTGAGTGAATCAACAAATGAATGTCTTTCCTCCCAGTCTTTGCTCTGGACTTTCCTGAAGCATAAAGAAGCTATGAATCCTTCCGAAATTAACTCGGCCTTACTGTCCAATCCACAAGTAAAGATGAGGAAGAAAGGCATCTGATTACAGTAAAGGCAGGAGAAGCCAGTGAAGCAGCATCTCCCGGAGTCGATGAGAAAGCAAGAAAAACCTCAGGGGCAGCGTTGTGGGTGTCTGTTGGTGTTATGATTTACACGTATTTACATACTGATACTCGACACAGTGAGTTACAACTCGATTACTCCCCAAAGGATCTGAGACAAGAGGTCAGGACTAGGGTGCCCGTCTGAATGAGTCCAGGTGACCATACCGCTATTTAGCACTGGAGGGAAAAAAGAATAAAATTAAAGCACGTGTGGCTGCACCTCTCCCTTCCCCAGGGCTGTCCAGGTGTGCTCCAAGGAATACAGGAATGCCTGCTGCAACACCCAGCCACTGTTGCCGGTGGAGTCTGGTCTCCCGGGGGCAGCTCTGCCAGTGAGACGATCATTTCATCACCCTTCCCCTCGAAACCTATTTTTAAACCCTGTTGTATTACACTCCAAGCTTCCGGGCTTGGAACAAACCTCAAAAGCAGGTTTTCTATCTTCCTCCCAACATGCTTCACTTCCAGGGGTTTAGCCTTTGAAATTTTTATTATTGGCATTTGAAATTAGTTTATGTAAGTTATCTTAGTCATAGACAGCATCTTTTTTCATTTGCTGACCTTCCCTTATTGTTTCTAGGAGGAGCTTCTGAAATCAATACTTGCAGACATGCTTGGACCTGAGGAGGCAACCTTCCCCAGCATAGTCCGAAATTCAGCACCGTAAGACTCCCACAGCTGGGGCTCTACTGTCTCCCTTCTGGTCCCAGGAAGGTCAGACAGGGAGAGGAAATGTCCTGGGCTTCTCTTCTGCTATTTTTGCCTTTGAAAACAGGCTGCTTTTGACAAGGCAGCACAGGTATACTGTCATCCACGGAAGAGACGGCACTGGTAGCGGGCATCTCTCCATCCCCGTGTAGCTGGAGGTGGGCAGTAGCATTTAATCCAGGGGAGTGGGGGCAGCATCGGGGAACGACCCTGATTTAATCTCAGATAATATTCCATTTTGAAATACCTTCACTTCAAATTGTGTAAGATTTCACATTATTAACTAGGAACCACCCCACTCACTATTGTAATCAGATCAATCAGGAGAGGGAGGCAAAGAAAAAGCAAGTAAATGAAACAGACAAAGTGATGTTCAAAGATCTGATATTAAGTGAAAGAGTAATTCTGGATTAGAAGGGAAAACATTTAACCCCTCCACCGCCACCCACCCAGGCAGGGCACAGAGGGCTGCACTTCACAGCCCTGCAGGATGGCAGGTGGACAGAGTGAAGGCAGCTTTGATGAGCCGCCTTCGAGCATCTGACAGCAGTGGCCTCAACCGCTGGGGGCAAAGGGAAGGTCACACCCCAGCGGGAGCCTGCACCACAGTGCCTCCTGCATTCCTCCAGTCTCCAACTTTCTGCTGGCACATCCCCAGCCGGGAATGGCTCCTGCCGTGCCCACTGCACCGGGTGATTGATGGGGAGGCGGCAGCTGTGGAATGAGCAGGCGGGTCACAAAGGAGGGAATTGCACTCGCAAGCTGCTGGCAGCCGCTTCACTCGCTTGGCCTTTTCCTCGTGCTGGAAGCTGGGTGTCTGTCCAAAGGACACTCGAGCCCCACTTTACTGCTTTTTGGGGCAGAAGCAGGAGGACACACCTGGACACAGGGATCCCAGCAAATAAAGACTTTTGCACAAAATCCCTGCTGCTGGCAGGGACTGTACAGCCCTGCTCAGCCCGCCCGACGGCAGCACCTGGGCTTTGTGGGTCACGTCACTTCTGGGGGCTGACGTGAGTGAGCCCAGTTTGGAACAATTCAGGGACTGGGCCAAAGCCGAGGCTGAGAGGGAAAGAAAGAGCAGCAGGCCAGAGGGTCAGCTCACTGTGGTAGTGGCTGCTCGTCCGGCCCGCAGGTGCACAGCCCTGCCTGGTGGAGGAGGGTGCTGTTTTGGATAAACTAAAAAATATGGACCCTCACATCCCACTTCCACATTCACTCAGTGACTGGTGCCTAGTGCCGTGCGTTCCACTGTGGGTGATGTGGGTAATAAGTGACAGCTCACTCAGTGACCTTCTACATCATTACCATTTTCATCATCATCATCATCATCATCTGGTCTCCCTTCCACCTGTGAGCCCATGAGTCGGTGAAGCCTGGGCCACCCCAGAGGGTTTCCAGCCAGCACTGCCACAAGGGGAAGGGCCTAAACCCCAACCCCAGGCAGAAAGGAGAGGCCCGGCCTGCCCTCTGGGTCCTAAACGGCAGCCGACCCCTGTGTTCTCTGCCCTCTGCACTCCCCCAGCTTTTGTCTGCTCTTGCTCCCCCAGCTGTTCCATTCAGCAGCCCCTTGGACAACCTGCCCTCCCCTCACCCAGGCCTCAGAGGCCCCCATTAAGGCGAGCGGTCAGAGGCTGGCCCAGCACGTGCCGCGTCTTATCCGCCCATCTCAAGATCCTGCTCTTCCCGGCTTGGGCAACAAAAAAGGGGGCGGCCCGGGTCCACTGGCTCCCCGCGGACCCACACACAAAAGGGCGGGCGACAAAGACGTTTTCCGAGATGGCAGGTGTTGGTGTCAGATTCCGCCCAGAGTGCACGGGGCAGAAGAAAGGCGAGGCTAGGTTTCCCCGGCAGCGCAGACATGCAGGGGCAGGAGCGTGGGCAGGGCCCCTCGGGAGGGAGGTGGAGGCAGCAGGAACTCGAGCAGGCATTTCAGTGCGGTGTTAGCCGTGGCAGGAGGCTGTTAGTGCATTTACACACCCCTCCCCAAGAGCAGGCTGGTGGGGCATATCTGCTCAATGACAGTCTTACCTTGCTCAAATATTGCAATGAGACTTTTACGTATCTTAATCTGAAGGAAAAGAACATAACATCAAATGAATACGAGCCTGGCACCCACAGCCCAACTTGATAATGAATACAGTGCTAATCATACGTTATTCCTGGGCTGCCTGAGTGTTGTTGCAGCCTTGGAGAGCATTACAAACTGAAAATTCACTTAAAATTCTACTTCGCAGGACAGAATTCTAGCTGCCGTCGCACTTATAAATGTGACATGAGGAGACACTAGCATTCCTAGGATGTGTGATGCAGACGCTATGGGGACCTCGACAGACACTGGGCAGCACTGACCACTGTATCCTTTCCTTGTTGCCCCATATTTCCTGACTGACTGGGTCTAAAATAGTCAAGGATACTAGTTTTCAAGACAAGCATTTGGAATTCAAAGGATGACCCGAAAAAATAATTGATACCCACTAAGTGCGCAGGTTTACACGTCTCTAAGTTTCGTTTTCAGGTTTCTGAGTTGTACACAGTGTGTTAATTCAGTACTAGTGTCACCTTTGATGTGACAGACAGGCAGGAGGCACACAGCATGCTGTACAGAGGGCAGCTGGAGAAGGGGACCCTCGATGGTGAAATGGGACACAAGGTCACCCTCACTCATAGAGCAGTGGATCTTAGCAGTCACCCCGAACTCAGGAGAGGATCTGAGCTTTGCCAGACATTGTGACAAGTTTTCCCTGTCCCCCCAGCCCTCCCACAGCCACCCTACTTCCTACGTGGGTTTTCCTTAGCAAATGCAGCCTCTGTGGGCATCAGGCTTCTCACCCCCAACCCCCACACCACTCCTGAATTCAGCGTCACTGGACTACCATCAAATCTGGACAAAGACATTTATCAGTGACACAGACTGTTGTGTGCACGGCCATAGTTGTAAACTTGGACTGCCTGCTGACCCCGCCTGCCAAGGCTGGCACAGTGACCAGGGCCGGTTTCTAAGATGGTGGATCAGAATGCTGTCAGAAGAAGGACCACTGACATACTCTTAGGTGGGGCTCTCCGAAAGAAATGTGGCCGTCTATGAAGCCTTATTTTCCGATCTACTGAGGAAAATTCATTCCCTCTCCCTCCAAAAAAAAAATTATTTGGGGTTAAGAATTTCAGGATAAATAAGTGATCATGGATGATCCAACAGCATTCTCTGTCTTACTTGATTTCCAACCTCTGTTAACTGCTCCTTGTCTACACGTTGATTGTGCCCTAGGGGCACAAGAAGTTCTTGGGCTGCTGTTGCTGGTAACAGCCTAGAATGTTTTCCACGGATCCTCTAGATAATGAGATTATCTAGATTTCCTGTTTTCCCCCAATGCACTGTGCTATGGGGCCCGTTTCCTCTCATGGAAGATGCAAACATAGAGCAAGTCTGCATGGGTCTTCCTTGAGTTGAGGAAGTTCAGCTTTTCAGGACACCATGCTACTGACCCTCTCCAGTGGGAGCAAAGGGTCTCTTCATGAAGGGGCTCCTTGGTCTCCCTCCCCTGTTGCCCCCTCAGCCCTAGTTATACTGGCATCCGATTGGTAGAAACCAAGAAAACAGATGGCGCAGCTAACAATGGAGGGCTTGTTTGTAATTGCTGATGAGGACTGGTTTGCTCCTCTCCCCAGTGCGTCCCCAGATGCAGCCTGGTGTGGTGTGCTGGACCAAACAGAACGTCTCGATAACTGCCAATCCATGGTTGAGTTAAGGAGATGCAAAGACAGAGACAGTTGGGGGCTGCCTTAATTATTCCATGGGGCTCAAATGTCACTTGCCCTTGACACACAGGCAATGCTACCAAAGGGCGGGGGCCCTGTACTTGGAACAGAGGAGTGGGCTGTCAGCTTCCTGATACATCCCTGGGGGCAAGCAGGAGGTACCAACCAACC